TATGGCAACTACGGTTATGGATACCCATATTATGGATACTCCTACTACGGTTATCCCTCATACTACGGTTACGGTTACTATGGCAAGAGAGAAGCTGGATTTGGACCTTCTCAACAGCAACAGCCACAGCAACATCAGATGCAGCAAATGCAGCAAATGCAGCAACCACAACAATAATTGTATTAAGAAAAATCTAATAAAAATTATGCTCTAATGTTTTCACCTAAGCACTGCACTCGACCATTTGAAAGTTTAAAGCATTCCTGAGGGAAGATATGCCTTTTCGGCTATAACTCGCTTCAAAAGAATCAAGCTTTCAGTGTCGAAAAGAAGCACACTAGATTTCATAATCTATCGAACTAGGATTGATAACTTAATTGCTAGCTTTCAGATAAATGGCTTTGCGAGTAGACCGTTCTTTTGAGCACTACTTCGAAGCATTTTGTTTTAAAAACAGCTTTTCTGATTCTACAAATTTAAACTTAACAAAAGATAACACACCTCCTTAAAAAAGAAGATAGTATGCAACTGCGTCAATAACTGTTCCTTACTTTTTTTCAAATGCTAATAAATGAGGAAAGGCAAAACTTCCTACATCGCTATATCAGTGTGCGCTTTATAATCCAAACGATGAAAAATGAGTTTTGAAGTGCTCAGTCTCAAGACTCAACAATTTATAAAAATTTTGAGGATTGGATTTATTAGAGTAATAAATCAAACTGGATTGGAAAAAATGTATTTCTGAGTTGGACCTTGATTTCCGTCAAGCTTCAATGGAATAAAAATTTCCAAAAATTCTATTTATCAGATAATTCCAAGGTTGTAAAGATTTCCTTCATCCATCTTTTTAATGCATAAAATTCAAAACAGTCCACCACTTTTCATTTAAACGGTCTTTCTATGTGCTTGATGAATAACTTCTCGCGAGCATGTGATCAGTGTGATTCTTTGTTTTTTTTTTCTCAAAAAAATAATTTTGGCGTCACATGCGTAACCTAGAAAATCACAATTTATTAGCCATGAAGTCATGCCGAACCAGAATTAGGGAGAATTCCTCTCTAATAAAAGGGGTGCCACAGTTTGGAAAGCGAAGACCTTAGTACACCATAGTTATCAAAACTGTACTCAAAAGCAAGTAATTCTGTAGTGTGAGCATTTAAGGTTTGTAAGCCAATTAAAATTGCGCACAGAATCAAAGGAGCATTGGTAAGACCACCAATTTCGACCCTATTTGGCTTTATCCCAGACAAGACATCTGTTTATCTATGCATCTCTACTGACCGGCACGAAATGCGCATTATTTAGAAAGCTGCTCGAGTACAGCTATGCTAAATCAGTGCAGCCCATAAAAGGTGTTGTGTGAAATAACTAGTCCAAGAGTTATGCACTGCAGCACTTTGTAGGTTACTTCTCTATAATTCATTTCCAAATAGTATAAATGGTTGCAACAATAATATCTAGACCTTTAATTGCCGTTTTTTATTTGTTTTTTCAGATCCATAACCTTATTTGTGATCAATGTATTTATGGGCAAGATTGATGCATTCGTAAGTTGCCCTGCCATTATCTTAACATTTTTTCCAATATATCCAATTTCAGTACATTCCTCCTCCTATTCCTCCTCCTGGATATGGGTACGATCCTGTTCCACCAGTACCATACGGATTACTGATACCACCAATACCACCGGTGGTTCTACCGATTCCAGTACCTGTGCCAGTCCCGGCGCCCAGTTACGATTATGGATATGGTTTTGCACGAAAGAGAGAAGCTGGATTTGCGGAGAAAAGTGGAGACTTAGAAAAAGTCAAAATGCCCGAATCAACATCTTGATGCAATAAATTTTTGATCATATGACTTTGGCCAATTTAGGAATAAAGTAGAGACAGAAAGGGTATCTACTTTTTTATTCACTATCTAGATAATGAATGAAAAAGTAGGTGATGTTCAAATCTATAAACTCTTTACTCGGAAGTCTTATACTCCTCGCAACATAAAATGCAAGCGAGTTGCAACACTCAGGAGTGTAAAAAGCTCCCTGTGAGTTACATGCACCGCTTTTTCCCAAGAATGCTAGATTTGCTTTCTAACACTTCCGGTACTCTATTGCTTAGTAAACTAAGTTCAATCTGTGATACATTCATCATCTGACAAAAAGAGCATCGCGCCTGTTCAGATCGAGTACTGCATTGCTGACTCTTGAGGAGGTATAATGTAAACAAAAGCGATTTTCCGGAATAGAGATGAGTAAGCGCGGATCAAAGCAGCTGTGGGCGTTTTGGTGTTTTGGCATGCGATACTCAAAAGCCTTCACTCCTTTGAGTTTTTGGAATTT